TCTATGGTCCGACACCGCCAGTACCGAAGGAGCTGGCCCTCCAGATCGTAGATATCATTAGCTTGAGAAGAGAGATACGCCTCGCCTATGTGGGACTATGGGGAAGTTGCTTCGAAATCACGGAACAGAGCGATAGGGTCAATAGTCGCTTCCAAGACGGTGACCACGCCGTATCTGTGGGCGATGCAAATCACATCGACGGCAATAGCGAAGGCGATGACGACACCGAGGACGAAAACGAGATTGACAACGACTCCTTCTCAGACGCCGATGACGATTTCATAGAGACATCTGATGATGGCGAGTCGGAGGCAGATTCGTTTGCGGAAGCGGCAACGAATAAGCCACCACCACGGCTGCGTCTACGTGAAATTCTTTACTACGACGACAAGGTGGAACTCTTCCGGGCACGGCACGGGAAGTTATAGGCAGTCGGGATCTTGCGGTCTAGAAGACATGCTGCGCTAGAGCACTGACGTGTTGAGTGCTCCTCTTGGCGGCGTGGCCTCAAACCATTCGGGCTATCCTTGCTAGCCGGCAGCTTGGGTTGGGACCAGGCACCGTACCCAGCTACCGGGACGAGTTATGCGGTGGATAAGGTGCATAGCTCTTTTTTAGGCGCGCTCGGCGAATGATCTGAGATGTTGCCAAATGATGGACAAGATACTTATAGTATTCTTTTACGAGCGACGAAGTGAGGATGTATGTACATTCTTCAGGATGGATGGGTGAGGAGTCGATAGTATCGATGGTAGTCGGTCTTCGTATAACATGATACCTCTCACAATCGTTCTTCACAAAGACGGATAGATACCTGGGACATGTGACCGAGTAAAGTTATCGTTCGTCTCACCTTCTAGCGTAGGTACCGTATCCTAGCGTGCTTTAGTTCTCGTTTCGTTCATCACCCTCCCGGTCGGGTAGCGATTTAAGTGATTCGGGGGGCCGTCTGAGCTACCTAGCAAAGCTAGTGTATATAGTAGTATACATGTTAGCGAGCCGGCGTGCGACCAGGGCCCCCCTTAGCGACCCAGCATGACGCAGGCGAATCACGGCGATCTGCTGGCAGGAATGTCCTAACGTTAGCAGAGTCAGAGTCCCAGCGCCGGTCCCAGCTCACCGAGAAACCACAGTGTCAAGCCGCCTCGTGGAATCTAATGCAGGTACTGCAGAGGCGCCCCAGCGTGACAGGTAGCGGACAGGCCACAGTGCGAGGCCCGGCCGGATGGCACCGTGCAGGGTTGTCGCTGACTCCCTTCACCGTAACGTCCCGTTCGGGTTAGGCAGAGGCATGGGATTTCTGCAGGTGTGACACCACGCGCACTCCCGCCTTACCGCTACTATACCGCTACTTTGGCGATTTCATTTCGCATGGTGCTTTTTTTTCGCTGTGCACCTTTCATGGCCGTCTGCTGTCAGGCTCAGGCTGGACACTGCACTGGATACCGAGTAGTCAGATCCATCCGACAGGGACCCCGTCCGGCCACTCAGGCCAGTCTCGCCAGGCTCGCCCGCCAGTCATTCCACGAGAAAGCTTGGAAGCTTGCCGCTGCCCGTAAGATAGCAGTCTGTGCCTACGTGTGTCTCACTCTCACCGATACTTTTAGTCGTTTTTTTCATTTGTCCTAAATCGGAGAGGCTTGCTGCAGAAATGCACATTGAAGCTCTCTCCGCCTATTCGTTAACAGCACGCTGCTCGACCGCTTCTGCCTTTTTCTCAGGTCCCTGGTGCATACATATATATATTTATATATTTGCATTTTTCGATTTTCCCTCTTTTCTATATATCGGTCTGTCTGCTCCGGGGCCAAGATAAATTCTGAAGCTTTTCTTGTTTCCGTCTTCCTCCAAACCCATTAACTGGCGGAGTTTAGCGGTTTCCCTAATCACTCAACTTATAATACTTTCCCCATCCCGCCTTTTCGTCCCGTGCACAGCTTGCAAGTCAGCAGAGCATTCTCTCTCACCTTTCGCTTCCTCATGGATGCTCTACCCGTTGAGCTTCTCAGGCTCATCTACTCCTATTGTGATCATGAATCAGTTCCCAATTTACGAGCCGCGAGTCGAGTTCTTGCCGAGGTTGGCTATGAATACTTGTTATCGCCACACTTCACCTCGCTGAATTGGCGTAATGATATTGATCGGCTGCACTGCATCGCACTCCACGAACGCTTGAGGGGAAGCATCAAGTCGATCAACATTTTTCTCGGAGAACTGTCCTACGGGGATGCATGGACCACTTCATGGTAAGATGACCCAGAACTCCTCTCTCAATTGTGGTACAGCTCTCGTGATACATACGGCATCTCTGCTGTGACTTTTCTCAGGGATCAACCTCGAAAGATGAGGACTAGGATCTATCAACATTTCTTGTTTTTCTACCAAGACCTAGCTAATATAATCCTAAGCAGGGCTCAGCACTTTGTGGCACCCCCGATAGAACGGGCTGAGCTGATGGCACAGGCTCGAGTGGAATTTGAGAAGATTGCAGCCGGGCGTAAGCAGGTCGGACCCCTCCATCTGAGGGCTGACGATCTCCGGGAGGCCTGCTCAGCTTTGCCAAATCTGGAGGATCTCGAGGTTTCCTTTGCGCGATGCCCATCCACGCTGAACAACAGGTGCATTCAAGAGGCCTTCTTCTACCCTAACTGCAGGAAGCTGGACCGACAGGAAACCTATCAGAACCTGGATGCGATTATGTTTGCCCTGCACGGGGTCAAGCTCTCTTCCTTCAAAGTGGACCGACTTCCCCTCGAGGTCTTTCGGCTGGCTAACCATCGTTCACACTGGTTTACGCACGCCCAGTCTTTCCATACTCTATCCAGCCTCAACTTGACTCTCGACCCCTCTGGCCTTCAAGGCCCCACGTCAGCATTTAGAGCTGTCAATGGACTGGGCCGCATCCTTCAGCTTGCTAAAAACGTAACACACCTCAAGCTCGCATTTCACCCCTATTCGAGCGAACATTCGAAGTTTGTACTCTCCTTCAGAGAGCTGTTCTTCGGGTTTACCTACACGCGGCTCACGGACCTGATGCTAGAAGGTATCTCTTGTGATGAAGAGGATCTCAAGGAGTTCTTGGGTCGACACGGTGCCACCTTGGTGCGATTGCGACTGGGTGGCCGCGGGCTAGCCAAACCCTTCGAGGCATCGCATGGAGGTATTCATCTCTACGAAGGAACATTCCGATCCCTTTTCACCGGCCTTCGCAGAAAGCTACCGAAGCTCGAACGCATGCACCTCGAGGGCATATTCGATTGCGAGCATCAAGACCTCCCCTCGCACGAGACCTACAACTTCTACCCGCTCAACGACGAGAATTGGGAAGTTGTCCCGAAGCCTGGGTGGGTTCGGTCATCACGCAATACCATCAGCTGTCTACCTTTTGAGGACTATGTTCTCCACGGCGGTGTTTATCCAGGCAAGAGTGCTTTAGCGCAACAGGATGATTGATTATTCGACCGATCGATCGACCGACCGACTAATTCCGTACACCTCTAACTACCACGTAGCACTTCCTGGAAGCTGAGCACTTGATTGGTACAATTTGGGTTACACACGTATTCGTTTATCAGCGCAGCCAACCAGCCATACTTGTTCTTGACTTTTCGACTTGTCCCTGCCACCAGGACTCTCTGCATCATAGGTCATCCAGCGGCTAGATGGCCGGCGTTTGACGGTGCTTTTTGCTTTATCTCTTTATTCTTTGGAGGCGGAGAACGCAACATGTTAGCAATTTGCTTGACCACGAAACGAGCCTTGTCTCCACGCGGGACGTAACGGAGGCAAATATTTTCCGATGATTTACGACTACCCGACTCCTTATAGACAGCTTTGCACAAAAGTCCTCAGGGATTGACAAGAGTATTGGGTAATACGGCGTTCGCAAGGTGAATTATAGTTTTTGCCAGAATGTCCATTTGGCTCCTCTCAGGGAGGAAAGATGAAAGAGTCTGCGATGTTTTCTTCTTTTCTTTATTTGTTATGTTTTAGCATATTTGTTGAAGGATCATATGAACACGTTATACGAGTATGATTGATGAATAAACGGAATAACGGGCCCGCAAGGACACTACAAATTGAGCATTTTCTCTTTCTTTACTTCAACGGGTTGATGAGAGAAGAGACTTCGCGGAATCGCACACTTTAACTCCAAGTCATCACATTCAGTTTCTACCATAGTTGTAGTTGTAATCAGACTGCTAATTTTCACTTGACCGTTTTCAATTCGCGATTTGCCCCTTGCTTCCGGAACAAAGCTCCCGTGATCCCCTACCTAGATCCAACATTTCCAATTGCTGTCAGCTACTGGTAGTAAGATAAGCTTAGACAGTGATAGAAGAAAGATGAGGCTCTACGGAGTCGCCGACGAAATCCTCGGGATGAACCCCAGTGTAAGATCCTCTAGTCAGCTTCTCAGACCCCGCCGTCGATTAATCGGGGATGTCGAACGCGCAATGTTTATACACTGCTACCCTAGGATTGGTCACCAAATGGGGTAAAATCGAGAAACTGAAAATGTGATGATGATGATGACTAGTGTACACTAGAACTACTGCGTATGTGCAGCGTTGGCTTCCTGGATAAACCCCCGACCCCCGTCCCCGGAACCCGGCATCATCAAATGCCAGGTGATCCGATAGGTTCGAAAAACGCCCAGTACTTACTGTAGGAAGTGCTATGCATTATTAAGTATAGTATATACCAGCACGGCACAGCACAGCACAGCATTTTTATCTACGGCGCGCATGTGTCCGGGTCTTATTGGTATACTAGCCCATCGTCCCATGTTCGAATGATTGCTTACTCCCTGGCCTAAGCATGATTTGTTTGGCATGAAGAAAGAGAAGATAACCCCTACTGCAACTTAGGTATTCCCTTACTAGTGGGCCCCCCGTCTCACACTAGAATTAGGACTAGTGCACGGCCCCACCAATGGTTCACGAAGCCCCTCCACTCCACGATGATAATCTACTATTCCGCCATCACCCTTCATTCAAGGCAACGTGGCTGAGTGGTTAAAGCGTATGACTAGAATTTAATTAGCTACATCATATCCCTTCGGGGTCGTAGGTTCAAGTCCTGCCGTTGTCGTTTCTTTTTTCCCATTTTTATTACTAGAATTATCATTTATAAAGGTTTTGACCCGACCTGTTGTAATATTTTTAGTCGTCTTCTTCTTCTTCTTCGTCTTTTTCTTTGTCGTCTTCTCTTTTTTTTTGTATTCTCTTTAACATGCTCCAACTGTGTCCCACGAAGGCTTAATTATCCGAGCGAGGATATCCAAGCGACGACGACATCGTACAGCTCAGCTCCTAGACCGTGCCGGTCCAATGCAGATTTCCATACCCAGTGCTATGGTAGCAGGGACCCCCGTAGGGCGTAGTCGCAGAGGGATGTGAAGCGGTTGATCCACCGTAATCCGTCAGGTAGGTATGTATGTATGTGTATGCATGTACGTCAAAATCTCAGGCTGAGGTTTTAGAACTAATACCTACATCTGCATAATCTAGCCAATTCAATCCAAGCCTGCTGACGAAAAGTTGTCTGCTACAACACCAAAAGAAATACTCCGCTTACGTTATGTGATATGACGGTCACTACGTGCCTGCTGTGCGCATACTACCTATTACATACTCAGTATATCTACCGTAACTGTGCATACACGGGATGCACCCATACACTACATTTGTGCAGCAGTGACCACCGGGAGAGACTATCCATCTATCTATCTTTGGCCAAAGGGGACCGGGCGTCCGGCTGCCCGAAATGGGGTGAGACAAGACAAGATTATCCCAGGCTGGTACTGTAGCGAGGCGGTATGTCATGTGCATTTATTCAGAAGGAGACGATCTACCAGGTTAGGCATGTCATTTGCCGCTGTAGAAAGTATCACTCATCGTACGAATAGGGAATTTTTCTGGGCGTGTCATCCGTGGACGCACGGGGCCAGTAAGGGATCCTAATTACTACACTATCTGCGAACAGAGTCACTGCAACAAAAAAAAGACTTATTTCACATCTCTACACCACATAAACTGCTATTTCAAACCGCATTCATTCAACAAATAAATAAGATAATCAAATGAACTAAACTACTTAAGTATTTAAAAGGCTCCACTTTTCTTAATCCTATCTTATTTGGCTGTTTAATCGATGTTTAAAGTGGTAGAGTTCAGTCAGTGTTTGCGGGCCTATAGCACATGGGCTGTTTCTTGTTGCAGTAACTCTTCTGCGAACATTTTTCACGGCAACAAGAACAACAATGAAAATGACAACAATGGAAATGCTAATAAAGTCGGTGAGGCGTCTGCTCCCGCATGATATACACCTACCTGCTCGCCTGCTAACCATCGGACGGCGGTCAGGTAATACTGTAGGCATGTCACAATTGTTGCACTAGGGATCTATTGCTTGCCGGGTAAGCTCTGATCTCCTCTTGATAGCAAAGTTTATGTCAGGACAGTAACAGGTTGAATGTCATATTGTTTGGTCAATCTGGGGTAGTATTTTCGGGAACGAGACGCAGTAACCAGCGTACCGAGTCCCCTCTCACACAAGGTATACCTCAGCCTGCTTATGATAACTCATTATATAACCGCTTAGGTCAGGATCACTAGTCGAGGCAAGCGTATTACGTTATGGAAGAAGAGGAGACAAAAAGAAATCAATGACAACCCGAGAAGCTGTCCTCGGATTCCCAACAGCATGGGTGGTGGATGAGACGAGGGCTGGATTGTTGGTATTTGGTATTTGGGTGGGCCTTGTCTCGGAGCTATCGCTGTCGATTCGGCGATGCATCATGCAATTCCGTTTATTTTGTTTTTCTTTTTAACAGCCTGGTGTCATCACTAAGTTGTAATAGCCGTGAGCATCACCACTATATGCTTACTTACCTCAGCTCACATATGAGTGATCAATCTGTATGTGCAGAATGTGACAGATGCCGAAGTTTGATCGCCTTAGGGACTGAAAAAGAAAATGATTACTCAGGTTATTTCTCCGCGTTGCAGACTACCTAGTCCTCACGCTTACAGATAGGTATATGTAGCTGCCTCGTGAATCCCCAGGTGCCATGGTCAAGAAGTCACATAGTATCACGTAGGGTAGAAGACATACTGAGCATGTTGCAGAATAACAGGCTTCTGACGGTGATGACTATGCATAATCCGAAAGGTGATACTGATGCTACGCTACATAGTATACTAGACTACTGCAAGAACTGACTGTAAATAATGATGGCGCTTTGTTGTGGTTATTGTTGTCGTCGAACCTATCAAAGAGTCCCTTACAGGTTCACCGCCGCACTTCGACAGCGGCCCCCAAGATAGAGGGGAGTAGGTGGTAGTATTGAAGGGGTAGCATCGGACCTGACGTCTGCAGTAGCAGCGTCGCAGAGGAGTATATCAAGCAACCTACAGTACAGCACCGTAGGCTTAGCTCATTCAAGCCTTGTTCCTACTTTTCCTTCCCGTCCTTTACGGCACTTACTCTAGGTAGGCTACACCTTAGATCGTCGGTATTGTTGTAGGTAGTGAGGAAACTATAAGTTGCGCTACACTAGAATCTCGTCCTAGTGTGATGTGTCGATCCGGGCGTTTCGGCTCGATGTTGCAGGGATGATGGGGGCTAGAATTCTGCTTGAATTTTTTTCTCTCTTTCTATAATTTTTTTTTAGAAAGCGTCGGCCATGACAACCAGATGCACACACACAGATAGACACACACACACACATGGACAGGCCTACCGAGTCGTGGCGAGGTTGTAACGAAATGCAACTGAGGCCCTCCATGTGTGTTGGCTAAACCGGCTTGGCAGGGGAACCCTCCGTGATTTATAGTAATTCGTATTTACCGACCTAACCTACGGATACTCGGTTTATACCCAGAGTCAAGATAATGAATGATAAGGGATGAAGCCTCGAGTCCTCGGATCTTTGTTTTATGGTGTGGTGGTAGTATTAGTGGACATTGTCTAAGGCTACGAGTCAAACGATGACAAGGTTGGCCTGCTGGCTAGTGTCGAATTGTCTCAAGAGTATATTGACTCGAGCAGAACTGGAGCACAGACTTTGTAAGTGGTATGTTTGACGGCGCCGATCGTGGACTAACGGTACTACCAGAGGCGCCCGTCCTGTCAAACCTTGCCGATGTCACTTCCGCCGGCCCTGTTTTCTTTTGCGTCCGAATTTATTTTCTCTCTTGTCCTCTGGCTGTAATAGCTCAAGATCTAACATACTGTTCTGCGCGTAATTACGTAGTAAATAGTGTATGTAAGTGCGCCAAGACAGAGTTTACGAGCTAAGATACGAGGTTAAAGTGGGAGCCGAGGTTTGGTCGTCTCAAGCTTTCATCTCAGCCACATCCTCATTCCTCTTGACAAGCAGCAAACACATGGTACTACCTACTGCCTACCTTGGGTTAGGCGGTCTTTAATGAGAGCTTGATTTCCATTCCTGTCCATCCCCAGGATCCAGGTGACAGAACACATGGCGACCTAAGCATAACATTTCGATAATCTCTACCGGAGCGCAGGGCGTCTCTTTCTACCCGTTTTTCACGTAGTTCGGTAGCAGACAATGCGACCATCCCGCGAACCTGCGAAGAAGCCATCGTCGAGTAGGAGAGAAGGATTTCAAAGAAAAAAAAATTAGTGGCCTAGCATGGTATTAGTTATTTTTCTCCTGGTCAATCTCCGTCGTTCCCGCTTATGGTCTCACCTTCCGCCTCGGACAGCTACGACACTAGCAGTAGTACACGTACCTCTCTTTGTCTTAGCCAGGGGTTTCCCCATCTGCATCTGGATGTTTATTTATATTTCGCTTTACCCACGATTCACGACTGCTCCATACCAGAATCATGAGATGTCCCTGAATTTCCAGGGAATTGGCCGCGCCCCTCTCCGCACGCCACCCCCAAACAGGCAAAAAGGGGGGTTGAAAGATCATGGATCAGCAAATCTTGCCCCTGGGAAGCTATTGTAGTGTCGTGTATGCTGTGCCGATACGTCGCCTACACTCTACACTACATGACAGCCTGCTCGAAGAGATAGCCTTGGGCATTATTAGTTTGTTAGAGGAATAGTGTGTCCTAACCAGTAGAATACCAATCTACGGTCACACTCTCTGGCCCGGTGTAGGTCGTGTCGGCATCACCATTTGCGCATACAGAAGAAGCAATTGTGATGGTGATATAGTAAGCTTCAGACTGCTTTAAGTACCTACGCATACCTACAGTAGCACTCGAGGTTGCAATGTCAGGCGAATTCCTAGGCTGCTATTACAGTAGTACGGCAGCACAAAGCACTACCGGACAGGTACACTAGTGCCTTGGATTCGGTAGTGCAGCATCTCAAACAAGCCATGTAGAGCCTATGTACACTACCCACCAGGGAGACTCCAAGAAGAGACATCTGGAGGTGGTAGTGCAGGGGGTGGGTGCGCCTGGACCTGCTCAGTACCCAGTTAGTGTGCCGCTAGCACTCTGTGCCCCTGCTCTCCAGCTCCTACGCCTTGGTGCACTTGGGCCTGCATTTTGGCTGGCCCCCGGGCCCAACAAGGCCCCAAAAACGTCACTTTGACCTGCAGCCACCAAGAACCAGCACCCACGATCTGCGGTCCATCCTGACGCATCCATCATCCATCCCCCCCCCTCTGATCAAGGCCCGTGGCCGATGGTTCCCGTCTCATGATCTCGCGGTCGCAATGTCATAAGCGAAGGAAGCCTTGTTACTGTGAATTGTGTGCCAAACCCCATAGACCACCTAGATCACCTGCTGTTATACCATACTTCGGCCTTGTCTGTCTACCTACTACACGTAATTAATCCAACTCGCTCCTCTCATTCCAGCCGGCTCCGGCCCCAAAATAAGTCCCTGTATGGACTTCCGTGATCCCAGGACCAGCCAGCGACGTCCGGACAGCTCCAACCATCCGCAAGTGATTTGTCCACCCGACGGCCTCCCGTCGCTGAGAGAGCGCGAGCGACCGCCGCTCGTCTTGCCTGCACCGGCGAACCGGCTTGAGCTCAATAGCAATGCAGCGTGTTTCGTCCCTCCTCCCAAGCTGGGATCGTAATAGATCGAGCGCCAGTAGC